GGTGGGGGGTGCTGGCGTGCAGTCCGTGGGAGTCTCGTCGTCGCCTCGGGAAAGAGGCTGGCTGACGTCATCCTGGCGGGTGGCGGGCACGGCGCGGGGGTGTCGTCGTCGTGGTGAAGTCAAGAGACCGCGAGCAGCAGCAGGGATGGGCGCGCACTTGGTTCGAACGCCCTTACAAGCAGCGGAGAGTTGCATGCTGTACCGGGTGGTTCAGAGAAGACGCAGGTGCGAGCGGGTTTGCCTACCCAAGGGGCCATGACGCCTTACGGGCAGATCGGGTAGGCAAACCCGCCTGCACCAGCGTCTTCTCTGAATCACCCGGTACGTGCCCCACAACACGCTGTAAACAAACATCCTGGTTTCTAAGCGCCCGGGTGAAACCAATCGGTTCTTATGGGGACTCTAACACAGGGATGTTTGCTTGGTTTACCCATGGTTTACCCGACCAGCTTGAATGCCAGCTGGTCCCCGTGAAAAGACGCGCTTGTCGCTTAGCTCGGCTGACATACCACTGGTGAAAAGTAAAAAGTCCTCGGATTTCCCATTGAACTTACGCCCTTTTCACTTTTCACCAGTGACATATTATGTCGCCCGAGTGCCGCGCCGCCTCTGTTGTCGCTTCAACAAGTCGAAGCCTCAACCGCCAAAACATTGACCTGGTTCTGTTCTGTAGACGTCCGTGTCCGTGCGGAAACAAGACGGATCGCTCGAGTCGACACAGAAAATAGGCCCTGTCTGTGGGAGAAAAGAGTAAACGGGGGGGGGGGGGGGGGGATGCGGCAAGTCGGACGGACGCAGCATGCAGGACTCTACACTCGTGCAGCCGGGTCGGTCCACGAATAAGGTCAGGGCCACAGAGGAGATGCAGGCAAAGGGCTTCAGGGGGCTTTGACAAGAGTCAAAAGGGCTTCACAGACTTTGAAAGCAACACAACTTATTCCTCCACCACAAAGGGAATAGGTGCAAAAGAAGGAGAGAAGAAAGTTTTCTTATAAGGGTTAAATTTGATTCCTCCAAAATGTCAGGAAAGATTAACTTCAACTTCAAACATCACACCACAGATGCTTAACTATGTAGCCCCCAATAATTTAGAAATATACGACTAAGTGCACTGACCATACAGAAAGAAACACGAAAGTTTCACAAAACATCCTGCTGACGTTCAGCTCAATCGAGCTAAATACATGCATTATGGGGGGCTGGGATATTCCCGTAAAAGGGGGAAAAGAAACTGTCTGCACCAGGCAATAGTTATCATGGGAATAATAGCATATTGACCGTAAAATAAGTGTATAGCATCAAATATTAATGAAATTTCAAAGACCCAACACTGAATGCATTGTCTCTCAGAGGTGATGAGATTCTATTGAAGCATTTTGCCCCTGTAACAGTGTCTCAAAAAAGTCAGAATAGCTACATTAAAAATCTGTAAGTCTAGTCCCATTACGATGGCACATCAGGTGTCGGTCACCGTGCCGCCTCCCGTACCGTCTCGGCTCTCGGCCCAACTGTTGGGGCAACGAACTGGCCCGATAGTGGGTACTGCGAACTCAAAATAGTAGGGTTAACCTTGTTGCTTACCTCGATCACTGTCCATTGCGCGCTGCACCAGAGGTCCGTCGACGGGAGAGCAGCACGTCACAACATCGAGGAGCTCTTGTAACAAACTTGCGACCACAAAAGCGGCTCTTCTCACCTCACACGCGACTCTTGATTTTCAAAAGTACAGAAATAAAAAAGCAGTATGCTTGCTGATCACCCAATGTCCAAGGTCGTTGAACTAACAACTCCCGTTTACTTCGCGATGGATGCGACTCGGAGGTAAGGAAAGATAAAACATTCCAACGTAACAAATAACAAGTACTTTTTTCGTAACAAACAACTAAATTACCAATTGTTTTTTTAAAAAAATAGACCACAAACAGTCAATCTACCCATACAAAACCCAGACGAAAAAGGATAATGACCGTGCTAACTTTTGTTCTTCTTACTTTGTTGGCAGTAGAGTATGCACTCTCTTGAGCCACGGACTCTAGGTGTGTTCCGTGACTCCCCCCTAGATCCCATTAAGTATCGACGTAAATTCTTTAGAAAATAAAATAGACGGACATGTGCCGAGATTTCCACTCTAGTCCATTTTTTCTCATTTTTTACATATAACATGTACACGGACTCAATTACAAGGCACAGGCTTTATCTCTGCTTAAGCCTATCCCCACCCCGGCCAGCTGATCTGCATTCTGCATTCCCTCTCCTGTAAATGAAGAAACTGTGAAAAGACTGACACTTTTCTGAAGCTGACGCTTGGCATTTTGGAAAAATGATTCCGCACAACTTCAACAACCAGGGGGGAGGGGGAAGGGGGAGGGGAAGGGGACAACCGAATCAAGGTATCAATTGGGACACTGTTGCTACAGTTGCTGCCGGTGCTGCCGCTTTGGGTGGGACCATCTATTTGGCAAACGTACGGTGCCCTAACAATGAGATTTGCACCAAGTTGTGACAATAGTTTGTGTATATTTGTCTGTATTATCTGTTCCAGAGATATTTTAATAGTGGAGAGAATGAGCCCCAAACCACTTCAGCGTCTACTGCACAAGCAGAGCGGCCAAGTTCAAGTTCAAACTTCGGGTTTTTGGATCCTCGCAGACTACTGTTTTGGGTAAAAGAGAAAACAATACTTTTTAAATTTTGTTTGAAAGAAATAGTGAAGGTGCTCTCCCAATCATTTTAGAGTTTTCCTTGTGTATGACAACAGGGATTACTTATGCTACTGAGGTTGTTCTGCAATGCAATTAATGTATTTTTTACAAATTGATAAGGAATCTGAGTCCCTCAACAGAAACAAGTACTGATAGTGTCTTCAAATATCTTTAAGTAACTTGTGAAAATACACTTATTGCATTACTTAACAACCTAAATAATCACCTAAGCATGCAAATATATGAAATGATGGGTGATGGATCTGATTGGCCGCTCCAGTGTAAAACACAAATTTCTAAAAACCCTTCTCCTGCATTAGCGTAACTATAAACCACCCTAATGTACAATCACATTATTTCACTCAGGAAAATGTGGAACAACTGCAAAACGAGGAGGTGGCTTGCATCAAGCAGACACTTGCTGCTGGTGGGCAGATGGAATCTGGTGCTCAACTTGCTCAACCTGAAGTAGGTTCAAGTCAAAGCATTTCAAAATACTGTAATAAAATCATAAAATAATAAATTCTCATTAATTTCTGTGCAGAGCCTGGTTAGAAAATTTAGACATCCATACAACAAATTTGATGAATGGTTTGAGAATTTGTTAAAAGACTCACTGAAAATTGACAGACATGACAAAATCATTTACGAAGCAACCTTCAAGGTAAAATTTATAAAATCTGAAATTATTCTACAATTAATGTGGCTGCTTTAATTTTAAAAAAACATTTCATTATTTCTGTTTTAATCTTTTTTCCCAGGAACTTTTAGATACCCTCATACCTGCTATGAAAAGAGCTGACCCCCTATTCAACTTTCTATACAGGGAACACAGACCAGCAGGAAGTACATGGGAAAATCTTCGAATATGTAATCAAGATGAATTTGATGTGAATGTACTGCTTTTTCCCCCTGATGTCCAAGCGGATGTGAAGGCAAGAATTTAAAAGTTGGATGATCTATTTATTATCTTCTAACTATTACTAATCACTCTTTTATTTAGGTGGTTGACCTCAATAGTGGGCATATCGGAGTGGTTTTACCACGAGGGTTCACAGCAGTTAAGACAGCTTCGGTGGTCAAAAAATGTAAAGTTGAGAACGATTTAACAGCAGAGCGGCAGGTTTCGCACATTACTAAGTGAGTATTCAAAGAGAATCTGCCAGTGTGTGGTTTTAATGCCCTGATAACATATTATGTGATTGATTTATTTTTAACAGAAAACTAAAACAATGGTTAGATGTTGATGGTTTTATTATGCGATCAGAAGTACTTAAGTGGATGACAAGTGTAGTTGATACTGCTTTAAATGAAATTGAGAACAAGCAATGGGAAAATTTGAGGGTAAATACATGTTCACTCAACTACAAATTTTTAAATGCTATAACCATGACTTTCAATAATACTTCTAATTTTACATACATCAGAGAGTTGCACGTTCGTGGTCAGGGCCTGCAATTACTATCAATGTTACTATGAACAATGGTAAAACATTGTCAGTAGATCTTGTCCCAGCACTTGAATTTTCTCTCAAACTTCTCCCTGAAAAAATACGAGCTACAGTTAATGTAAGTATAGCTCAGTAAGGAAGGCAGTCCAATAACTCTTTGCTTTTCCTTGTGTGTACCAATAACACATTCTTTTTATTAGAAACACCCATCTAAGGGTGGAGTAGAACGAAAGTGGTATGCTATTCCTAAAGGATCAAAAAATTCCTCTGATGAAGAGTGGCGCACAAGTCTGTATGAAATAGAGAGGGACTTAATGAGTGGAAAGACTCATGTGAAACCATCCATAAGGATTATGAAGGTTAGTAATTAATAAATGGTACATTTACCTAGAAATATTCCTACTTAACAATAAACAATTCGTACATTTACACATGTTTGATTTATTACCAGAAATTACGTGATACAATGGAATGGAAAGGACTCTCCAGCTATTACATAAAGACCATGTTTATGTGGATGATGCAATCCTGTGATCTGGAAGGCAAGGGTCTTGGTCAGATGATAATGAAAGTAGGTGCTGTAACATTTTTAAAATGTTGTCCCCTTGTCCTGGTGATTCACAATTTTCTTGATCTCTTTTGTTTTACTCATTTAGTCATTTTCTCTCTCTTGCTCTAACTCATTTCTTCAAAGGCATTAGAAATTTTAGAAGAGCACATGAGGGAAGGCAGGATCAAGTACTACTGGGATGATAGTCTAAATTTATTGGACAATGTTGACAATCCAATATTCTTCAGAAATGTTTCAAATTGCATTAAGCACATTCTAAAGAAATTTCAGAGGAGTCTAGAAGATGATTCTGTTGATCCAATGGTTTACTTTGGATGGTAAGTTCTGATCTATTGAGGTAAAACATGACTTCTGTAATTGAAAATTTGTGAAGTTTTTGATCAGTCTTGAGTAACAATGCATCCTCCAAAAATGACCACACCTGTCTTATTTTATTAGCCGAAAAAGTCTCCGTTATTTTCCTGAATGTGGGATGGACAGGTAAATAGTCTGCTTTTGTTTATCGTCTTGCACACAAAGTTCTATTTTAATATCTATGTTTCATCTGTTGTTTGTTTCAGATCCAACTCTTGGCCTGTAGGCCAAGAGGATAGGATTCCTCAGGAAAACACAGCAGACGAAAGTTGTCACATCTCATGAAGACTGTTCATGAATGCCAATAATTATTGGCGATGAAACCCAGCCAGCGAATTTCATCAAAACTTTGACATTATTGCATGCATGTGTATGTTTTTTGACATCAGATCATTGACAAAATACTGATATAAACTTATCATTATTACAATTATACTACATATTGTGTGTAGTTATTGTGTTTTACAAATAAATTTTTAAATTTTTTATCAATTTAAATAAATAAAGTATCAACTTTTTCAAAAATGAGATGAGTTAATTTTTTACCTTTAAAAGAAAGTAAAATCAGATGATTTTACGATGACAGTATTTGCCTGGTGCCATGAGGCGCCAAATGTGCTATTCGCAGCGATGAGGATATTCGCACAAGTGGTGGAAATAGGCGGTTTTCGGTTATATGCACAACTTGTGCAATCTACTGAACAAACGCTATTTGCACCAGGGGATATATAAAAAGGGTGCAAATAGCGCCTTCACACACTTTTGCACAACTTGTGCAAGAAAGTAAATGTTTGCTATTTGCACAACCTACTGCACTCGAACATGGTGATAGTGTTTGAAGCTCGCGACATCTGCTTTCGAGCTGACTCGTAGACGAGGTGTAACGAGTCAGACCCTCAAGGGAGGATCGCTGGTTCGCCTCCCGGCCGGATGACTCTTTTCTTACGGCATGAGCGTTTGTGGTAAAAGTCACAATCACTCTGAGTCGTGCAAATATAGTTCGATATAAACTATACACGAGTCGTTTAAATATCGCTTGTTCGAAAACATACACAATTGGTGCAAACAGCCAATGTTCATCTGACAGCACAATTTGTGCAATCAGAAGAGAAACTGCTATTTGCACAACTCGATCAACATTGCTTAGAAGACATATTGCTACAAACCTTTGCACCACATAAACAAAGTATATCAGTTACACTTTTTTTGGTTTGATCTGCTTGTTTAGGTAGTCATTGCTTTCAAATTAGATATGTCAATTTGGTTTACTTCATGTTCAGTTCTTGTTCATACATCTGATTTCCCATATTTGTTAGTTTTTTTTTTATACATATTTAGGTTTGCTGCTTAATTTTTCTTAAAATAAATTTTAATTTACTGTGATATTATTTCTAGTTGTCCCATTTTATTTATTTTTGGAAAACATTGAGGGCAAATTTAGCAGTCAGCCTTATCATCAAAACTTGATTAGATGCCATCATTAATTTATTTTTCAGTGGAATGACTGCAGTAATGTAGCAAAGTTGTAGTAGGTATGAGATATGGGCAGTAAGAGGAAGCATATACTAGGAAACGTATTTAGAATTTTATAATCTTCCAGAAAAAGGTATGACAAATCACAAAAGTCAGATGCCAATATACTCAAGATAGATCTCCTGAGCACAATTATTTAAAGTGATTGTAAAAACAAAGAACATACACTTATCAGCTGCATTGGCATTGTTAGACATTGAAAGTAGGTGTATTTGGTAATTACAAGCAGTTTACAGTCAAGTTAAAATCCAGAATTAGACTCCTAAAATAAATATGTGCAACGTTTGTGTTTGCAGCACCAAAAGGAGGACCATAGCGACAGGCAGTCAAGTATAACAATACAAAACATTATCCATATAGAATACCAACAACAAATACCTAAAATACTTCTTAAATCATATCTACTTTTCACAAGCTTCATGATTTAAAACCTAATAATTACCTCTATAATGAGTTCAGTTGACAAAGCTCACATCAATAATACAACAGTGTTGAACTTGTTACATCATTAAAATCAAGACCATAGTTGACTAGGATGATATGAAAAAAGGCCTCAAAGCATATTTACATCATTAAAATCAAGACAATAGTTGACTAGAATGATATGAAAAAAGGCCTCAAAGCATATTGTTACAAACAAACTGAGATATTTCCTGAAACACCGCCTATAACTTCTGCCTTTTCAGAACCCATTTACGAATCACCTACGCCTTGCATTTTTTGCACATCCAAGAGGTGCCAGGGTCTTCTTTCACGCCCTCACAGGCCTTGTGGTACCAGGAGCCGCACAATTCACAAAGAATCATATTGTCAACAGTATCAGGTAATCTGCAAGTGCAGTAGATTTTTAAGACACACACATCATCTTCCTCAAGGGTTCTTTTGGGTCTGGCTGATCTTCTTGGAAAGACGGACAGTTTTCCAGTCTCCACACACTGCTTCCAATGACTTCTCAACTGAGAGGGATCAAAGTCAATAAATTGAACCTTTCCTACATGGCAGAACTCTACAGCATGTGCTATTGAGTAAAGAGCACAGTCAACAGAATTTTTTTGCTGAGCACATGGTGGTCGCACAATGATCACGTTAGACTCATCCGACTGAGCAATCATAGCACATTGCATTTTGGTGTGTCCCGACAGACCTGTGGTACGCAGACTGTCTAAAATGGTAACAGTTGAGGATCCTGCAAATGTAATGAAAATAGATAGAATCTTCGCCTAAAACAGTCACAAATTAGTGAAAGCATAACTGCTCCATACCTTTCATGAAAACAGCCGTAACCCAGTGGTTACTACGTCCTGTGTGCATAATCTGCAAGTAATCTCTCGCCCTCTTTCGTGGTGGATAGTAATTAATTTCCTCAACCTTCTCTCCATAGGTCACACTAAGAGGACAGGACAGACCATCAATTTTTCCGCCAAATTCTTCTTTCAGCATGGAACTTGCACGCTGCATGTGCTCATCCGTAAGCATGTTTTGTAAATCGATGTCTTGAAAAGCAGCAAGACTCATTCCAGTTTCTGATTTTGGAAATAAAGAAATTAGCATGTTCCACCAACATAGCATAAAACTGACTTTCTTTTTTTTTTGAAGTAAATTACATACTTAAAGAATGCTCACAAGCTGTGCAAATGGATCTCTTATTATTTGCTACATTCAATTCTACAGCATTAATTAGTGAGCTGCATAGAAAGTCGTGGCAAGTTCTTTGACAACGGTAGCATGTTACCGTATCAGCAATATCGAGGGCAGGATCAATTGGCATATTGCAGATATGACAAGAACATACGTGGCCCTCACCAGCATCTGTTCGACAAAGCTGGCAAATGGAAGGTGCTGTTATGGTTTTGGTTTGCTTCTTTGAGCAAGCAATGCACAGTAGATCATTCCCCCCATATCCCTCTTCACCACTTCCACGGGAAACAGAGCAACCAAAAGCATGAATTGGTACTTGGCACAGGGTGCATGTGTGTGCATTACCGTCTCCAGCCTTAGGCTTGCCAAACTTGATGCACACTGGACACTCTGCATCCTTACCTGTGGAATAATTGTAACAAATAAAATCAGTATGAAGATTCATAGAATTGAAGGCTGTTTCTTTGCAATTTATACTTAGTGTCTCAGTACCCTGTGATTTGTTTAGGGAAGCAAACTGCTCTTGCTCTGACTCACTATCGGACGATAGAGTCACAATATCAACCACATCTGTTGTTCTTTTCAATGTAGGTTTCACATCAATAGGGCTTCCAGTGGCAAAACCTATGGGGCAGAAAGGTAAAAAGATAACCATTTAATGAAATATTGTAATTACAAAATCATATTTTTAAATTACTGCTGCAAATGATTCCACAACCATAACCTCTATTTTGTCGAACGGTGACATGCATTCGTTGTTGTTTTGAGGGAACTACATCTAGGGCACGCTGACTTGGGCGTTTCAAAGCAACACCACGATCATTATCTGAAAGGCAGGGTGTTAGAATAAATAAAAATAATAAAATTGAGAATGTAAAACTAGGAAATCTGAATGAATAGTGAATAATAAACAATGCTTCTGAAAGCATCTGAGTCAGCTGAGAGAAAGGTCATAATAATGAGATTGACATCCTCTAAGATTACAACAAAAACTTACCATTGCTGAATTATAGCTGACAGTTTACCCATATGATGTTGGCATTAAAACATGTTTTGTTAAGAATATTTTGTTACTTTTCAACAAAGTGGAACAGTAACAAAATATATCCCACAAAAAATGTAAAATTAACTGTAATCAGACAGTCAATGAAATTAGAAACAGTGTTCATGTGACAACTTGGAAATCATGCACACCATAGGACAGTTCACTGATAGCAGAGAAGGAATGTTGCACCTTAAACCAAAATTGCTGAGCCCATGAAGCAGCACCTGATCGCAGAAAAGTTAACGATAGCAAGCATGAAGGGAAGGGGAAAGGGAGGGGGGAGAAAAGCCGCCCCTCTTGTAATTACTGTACAAATGCAAACAGTCACCTACTTGATTTGTGACTGTATTCACTGAACACTGTTACACCCAGGATAACAACCACCATCATGCACCCCTTACCACAAGTAGACCTTTCCAGTGAAAGGCGATGACCTACAGTTACTGATTTATCTGAAATGTCAAGCATAATAGATATTTCATTTACAGTATGGTAAACAGCAATTTTCATTTTTAATATAGATTACCCACCATTGGATTTTTTATCCAAATCCATAACTTTGTGAATGTGTTTACAAACAGTACTTCTGAATTTGTAATCATGGCATTCACATGCCCAAATGTGGATACACTCTGTTCCCACACATAAATGACAGAATGGTGTTTGAGATTTAGAGACCCTGTAAATATCTGAGGAGCCCTTGGACTGGCTTGTCACAGACCACTCTGACTCAGACTCCTTTGTAACATCAGAGTCTGGTATTTTCAAGCCATTATCTTTACGTGTCTGCACTGGTCCTTTTTCCAAAGACCTCATCACAAAACCCCCTTTAAGAAAAAATGTAACACAAAATATTAGTGTCAGAATATTATGCATTATAGAGTACATTAACAAAGTATATACACTTACTTGGTTTGCTGGTTTTTTTGGTCCAATTGAAAGTGGTTTTACCTAGACCTTGTGGTCGACCTTTCTGTTTGACTGGCTGTGGTAATACAATTCCTTTCAGTGCCTGAAATACATCTACGGTACCATTTGTATTCAATGTCGCTTCATCGTCCACTTCATCTTCCGCTACTACATTTCCAGATACAATTTGACCATTTGACACAAACTCTTTCTCTCCATTTGTTTTTTTGGCAGTAGCTTCATTTGCATTCACTTCCAAATTTACTTCAATAGAACCATGACAAATATTTTGGGAAGTAGTATCAGCATTGTCCAAGATGAGTTGATCATCCTTGTTCTTTTCGTTTGTTTCATCCATGTTCTCTAGTTCATCTATGGCATTCACAAGTTCTGCAATGGCATCAGGTTCATTACAGTTCAGTAAATCACCTATTAAGAAGAAAAGGAAAATCAATAAGATTATTAATACTTAATGGTCACAAGAACATTTTTTTTTACTGACTGTAATCAATTGTATGTTGTATGTCCTGAGACTGGACAAGTGACTTCTTAGACTTCTTAGCTGGTTGCCAGAACCTACAAGTGTTTGTAGAACACTTGTAGAATGGGTTGTTTGGCCACCTCGATGTTGGCTGTGAGACGAGCCTGAAAATGTTTGCATGGCATGCTAGTTAGTTAACACAGGGAGCTATTAGTTATGGAATAATGATGAATGAAAATATCTGGAATGTAGTCACCTTATACAAGAAATACCACAAAAACATACAGGAGCAATGGGCTGCACTTCAGTCATATTTAGAGTAGTAGCAGGTTTGGAAAATGACTGTTCGATCCTGCTATTTGCTCTCACTGTAGGAAATTCAGATAGGACAAAAAAAATTGCAATGCACACATACACATACACCTTAATAATGATATGCAGCAATGAAAAGTACCTGGAGTTGAGTTATCAACTGCTGAGATTACACTGGTCTCTCCTGAAGTAACAGCAGTAGCTGTTTCTTTTTCAATTGGAGTTACAGAAATAACCTGTTCCTCTTCCAGTACAGTAAGAGTTGCGGTACCTTGTGTTTGATTATGAACTGCCGAGTTAACACTAATCTCTTCTGGAGTAACAACAGTAGCTGTCTCTTTTCCATTTGGAGTTTCAGAAATAACATGATGTTCCCCTTCCAGTATAGTAAGTGCTGTAGTTGCATTTAGATTGATAGCTGTGTGAATACAAGCACAGGTTAAATCTGCCATAAAAATCCAATACGCACAGATTTTTACAAGTAGTCAATAAACCTTGATAGATTTTTATTAACTTATGTGTACCTGATGATGGAAGAATTTCCAAAATTGCAACCTCCTTGCCTTCACTGTAAAACTGGAGAAGTGCTTCCAGATTAGCATACCTTGATGAGTACTGCTTCTCACTAGACTCTGACATTACCTCACAGATTGCTTTGGCTTTCAACATACTGTGGGTGTACCTCTCATTCGTTGTCCTAGGCATGAGTTTTGGAACAACACGCTGAAACACTCTACATTCAGGTTCATCAGATGTAACTATTTCGTGGTACTGTGTTTTCCACCATCGTTTGTTGATTTTACCTGTACAGCAAACTTGTAGACCTGTAAAAAGTAAAATTTTTGTTATCTATAGAAAAAGACAACAGCAGACACTTGGAGTGAACATAGATAATATGCATGCAATTAACTCACCTTTTTGTCTCCTCACTGAAAACATGTGGCGACATGGCAGTAAGTAGCAGGCCCAGTGAGGGCACAGGCACTCTTTTTCAGTAGCACAGAACCTTTTCACTTCTTCAGCAGACACAGTTCGATTCAATTCTTCAAGAATTAGTTTAGCGGCAAATCTTGTCAAGTCTTTCACTAAACTTTGGACAATGGGATCAGTGGAGTGCATAAAATAGGCCTCTTTAACCTGGTCAATTGTGTTTCTAAAGATCACATCATCCTCTTTGTTTTGGACCAATTCTAAAAGGTTATCAAGGGCTTCATACAACTCGTGGTTATGATGTAACATCTGTGATAAAAATAATGATACAGATTTAGTAGGCAATATTTTTCCAAGTAAGCCACCCAACTTCAACATCTCGATCACAGGAGTTGTGAGAAAAGATAATTCCTTGTAATATTAAAAGAGCAAGAAAAATGATACTAACCATCTTCACTTTGGAGTTGTGGTTTTCCAACCTGTTGTTAGTATTGTTGCCTAAATTCAAAGACTTACTTCGGTCCCGAAATGTCCATGCCATTGGGCAAGACAGCCAGTTTTTTTTGAAATATTTCATGAATTGCTCTGTGGCTAATACTGTTAGATCTTTTACAAGCTTTGCCAAGTCAGACGAGCTGCTACAATACCTCATGTTTGTGATGATGGTTTTAACTTCTGGCTTTTCTGCTTTGGTTGTACTTTTGAATGTCCTTGACACATGGAAATCACAGAGTTGTATATTTACATTTGGCAAAACCAACTTTATAGCTTTGACCTCTGAATAATCTTTGTCCACCACAACAGTCTGTATTCTATCTGCAACAGCACTGGTGATGGAGGTCTTAAATGCAGATAGAACCTCTCCAATTGTTGATGACTTCTCATTGGCAATGAAGGCATAGCCAACCGCCCTCCCATCACCATGGCCGTCCATTGCCATCAGCACAGTTACAGGCATTCTATTCCTATTGATTTTGTACGTGTGATCCAACAGGAGAACCTCACCAAAGTCTTCCATTACTTTTCTTTGTGCTGATGTTTGGATAAAGAGATACTCCAGGTTATTATCCTTATCTTTGCCAATGTAAATAAAAGCTCCAGGATCAGCATCCAAAAGCTTTTGTAAGGATTCAGCAAGTTTCTCCTCAGGCGTTTTCCCATTAAGGCCCTCCTTCTTCCATCTCGCCCTATTGAGTGGAAATGTTTGGACATCAATACTTTATGAAAAATATACTAATTCACCTCCAAACATATAAGGCATACATACCTCTCATTCGCCAAGTCACGTTGCTGTATCTGGCCACAGTCCATAGATCTCAACAAAGAGCGGATCTTGCATGGTTTCACACCAGCTTTGAACAGAAGCTCTGTTGTGGCTCTAACTTTGGGATCCTGCAGCCTCCGCCTACGAATTTTAGGGAGGGCTGAAAAGAACTTTTCATCGCAGCGATGGTTGTGCTCAGGCTCAAATTTATCCACCACTAATTCTGTCTTTGAGGCCTTTAGGTGAACCTCCACACGACAGCCAGTTTTCCAAGTTCTGTGCAACATTATGGCAATGAATTAGGCAATGTGAACAGGCAACATACTCATTCAACGGTATGTAGATACACTTACGACTGGTGGCAACGCAACCCTTTCCCATTATTAATCCTCTTCACGCCCCCACAAGTACACGTCAGAATGACATTTTTGTGCTTCAGCTTCGGATCATACAATGCTGTCTCACCTCGCGCTTTCAGGTTGAGATTTGCACTTTCGATTGATGACGAATGGGCAATACTCCATGCAAACCACTTCTCTTCGCCGTATGCATCTTCACAAAAGGGAAAGAAAGAAAGACATTATTGGAAGTACACACTAAGTGATGTATTGATGAATGTGAGGTTAGCAAGCTGGATATCATATATCTTCACGTAATGAAGCTTTCAACGCAATTGCCACATATATAATATTACCTAGACACTTCTCTACGTCGCACCAACTTGTAAACTTCCTTCCCGGGTAGGGAATGTTGCTCGACGTAGCCATTTCCCAAACCTGTCCCAAACATAAGGATACTCGGCGAACGGCCTGAACACGAGGGAGTCATCTTCGTGGAAAAAACGAGTTGCCATCGAAACATACTGGTGCAAATACAAATTGTTAAACAAGCCGCACAATTCGTGCAACAATTTGAATACTTCTTATTTGCACAACACCAAACACTTGGGCTTGTGCAAATAGATACGCTTCTCTTAAATGCACAACTAGTGCCCGGAACGAAGAAAAACTTATTCGCACGACTTGTGCTTGGCTTGTGCACATAGCTCCCCCACGACTCTTCACACAAATTGTCTGGTGCAAATACAGTTTCAACGCCTTTGTGCACAACTTGTGCGAATATAACTAATCCTATTCGCAGAGCATATCGTCTGCTACAGCTGTCTGCGCCTCACGTCACACGCGCGTGTAGTTGCCCTGCGGTGTAGCTTTCCTGCACCTCTATTAGTGCTCATCCGTTGTAAACAATGTCTGATCTGCCCAAACTTCCAGTAGAATACTTGGAAGTAAACTATGATGTCAGTGAACCACCGGTAAGTGCGGTAGGTCGCGGTGTTACATGTGATCGATAGTGACCTGTGAACCTCCTACAGACTCTTTTACATTGAACATTTTGGCATTTTTGAGTAATAATTCCTCACATGTTTGAAATAAAGCTGTTCCTGCATGTTCCCTCGTGGTTTTGATTTAGAGTCCATCTTCAGTCAAGACGTTTTCCTCCCCTTTGTTTTCAATTGGGGGTTATCGTTGTCCTAGGCTCGCACAATTTTGTAATTCAACGATGATTACTCATGTTGATTTCATCATGGAAAATGGTTATACTAAATTTTTGTAGATAATTAAAAAGGTTTATTCTTTTTATTCTTTATTTTACCAATGACCCAATATTTGCTAATTTCTGACACAAGGTTGTATTTCAATTAACTTTAAGATTTTCTTGTTGCAGCATTCACCTACTGCATCGATAAGTCAGATCAAGGCACCTATGCCATTCGCAATATCTGAGATATTCTGGGCAGATGTTGTTTCAGCTAATTCCTTATCGCATGGGGATGATGTTAAAAATATCTATGACTTGGTATTAGACATGAAGGTACATTTTCCAATCAAGTCTATTCATAATAGAGTTTTGAATGTAGGAAATTGTAATTTTGTTTTTCTTTTTTATTTAGGGCTTTCCTCACAAGCTTGTGCCAGGAGACACAATAGGTATTTGCCCAAGGAATAATAAAGATGAAGTAGAAAAATTATTAGAGAGACTTGGGGTTAAAGAACATATGGACATTCCATGTCACATAGGTGTAAAGCCTGATTCTGGAAAAAAAAAAGCATCTGTGCCAAATCACATTCTATCTTTTTCCACACTGAGAGAAATTTTTGAATCATGTCTCGATCTTCATGCTGTACCAAAAAAGGTAATTTGCTGTTCTTGTATAATTTTAAAATATTACTTTTAAAATATTTTGTGATTAAAATTTTTTTTTAATTGCTTTTCCTAGCTCTTTATTCGGGCCTTATTGGAATATACTTCAGATCCTAAAGATCATGAGAGTTTGAGTAACCTTTGCGGTCGTAAAAGTGAAAAGTACACTGAATGGATAGCATCAGGACGCAGTTATCTTGAGGCCCTTCTCATGGACCATCCATCTTGCCTTCCTTCTATTAACGTTGTTCTGGAACATCTGCCACGCTTGCTGCCACGGCCATATTCTATTGCATTTCTCTCAGGTAAAATTTTTTTGCTACCTCTTTACACATCAAATATGTGAGTTTTGACTTTGATTTCCTAATTAGAATATTTTTCATTTAAAGGAGAAGCAGACACGCAAATTCATATAGCCTTTTCAGTTATTAAATTTTATGTAGAGGGGGAGAAAAGGACTGGTGTCTGCTCAGGTTGGCTTGAGCAACTCACTAGTAAACTACGAACAGCTAGTGATAGTGCAGCATCCTTGTGTAGTGGAGTAGAAGCTCTCAGTATATCGTCTGAAAAGCCTCAAATAAAGGTTGGTGTAGTATCTAATCTACAACGAATTTCATTACTAGATTCATCATCTGATTCTTATTGTTTTGTGCATTGTGTTTCAGATACCTGTTTTTCTGCGAGTAAGTAGTGGATTCCACGCACCAGCTGATCTCAGTCGCCCCCTCATTATGATTGGCCCTGGTGTAGGAGTCGCCCCATTTATTGGTAAGCAATTTAAGAGTTGCTGGCATGTGTCCGCTTGATGTGTTTCTCAATCGAATCTGTGGTATTTCAGGGTTTTTGCAAGAGAGAGAAAAGCAGTTTAAGGATGCAAATTTAGTGACTGTGAATCAAAGCTGGTTGTTTTATGGCTGCCGTTACCCTCAAAGAGACATGGTTTACAGGTATGAGTAAATGGGCACAGAAATGGGCTCTACAAAAATAATTATAGTAATAAGCAACTAATACACATATGCTTTTCTTTTTTATAGCAATGAAGTCAAAAGACATCTCGCAAACGGAACATTAGACAAATATATTTTGGCTCATTCAAGGGATCGGTCTTTCTCAAAATATGTGCAGGTAATTTACAAAATTATTTCTTGCTAGGGCCTTGCCAATTTAAAATTCTTTGCGTGAACATAAGAGTTATATTGCAGGACAATATAAGACTTCATAGCACAGACATCTGTCAAATGTTACTTGAAGAGGGTGCATATCTTTATGTATGTGGTGATGCTCTTAGTATGGCCCGAGATGTGCTTGCTGTAATAGTTGATTCAATTGCAAAATATAAAGGTGGTACACTTCATTTTCCAATTGAATTAATCTTCCGGTCTTTTGTGCTTGTCCATTTAATTGAAATGTAAATGTTTTCTAGATATCAACAAGACAAATGCTCAGCAAATTGTTATGCAACTCCAGGCTGAGGGGCGATATAAAGAAGATGTGTGGACAATCCAGGATGATGTGTTTCGCATGTACAGTAAAGCTATGGCAGAAGACAAGAAGCGACAAGTAATGATGAATGCTATTGTTCCTCCTGAACGCAGGCTTGTGGTTTGTGATATGGTCTGACATCAGCTCTCAAAGGTCTACTTAATGATTCGAGGCATACCTCGAGAGTAGACCTCTGTTTGCTAAACCAACCGTGGATCAGAGCTTCTTGTATGTCTTAAAGATCATTTGAATAACCATCAGTCGTACCTTGTATTTTGACCAGATTATTCTTGATATGAAATCTGGATAATCCTGTTTGTGACCCTCAATAGTTTGTACTTGTTGACATCCATCTCTCATGAGATTTGACCTTTGAACCATATGGATCTGTGTTTTTGCACCTCTCTATACTTATTTTATTTATCATTAATAGACAACTTAGGAGTAAGTACCTATACAACCAAATGACTAATGGACCTTAAGTGTTGGTGTAAGTACCTGTGTTATGAAATGAATTTGCCAATGTTTGTATGTAATTTTGTTTCTTAATTTATTGTTTTCATATTCTATTATCTATGATAACAAATTGAGTATTGTAAATTTAATTATTTGTATTTGTGGATGTCCTATGCCTTAGACATTTTGCTTAAATACTTGTTTTGTGATAAAGAGAACAGATAAGATTCTTTCTCAGCTGCATATAGATTAATTTTTTAGTTTATGACTGCCTGTCACACTTATTGTTCTGTGGGCATTTTATCGGTTGTACTTAATCGTAAGGTGTATTCAAACTTCTTAAATCTTACTTACAATTTTAATTCCATTCCTTATTGAGTGCAATTTTGATAACATACTCAATTTACATTCTCTACCAATTGAAAAAAATACATACTTCCTAACTTATTTCTCTCCAATTTCCTGATGTTTTCAAAACTGAATGTTCTGTGTTGTAAGGATTCGGAAATTAAAATTGTGTTTCCAATCATAATTTTTCTCACATTTTATTATAAACAAAAACTTTTACAATATCAACAACATTGAACACAAAGTTCAACAATAAACTGAGAAAACGGAAATAACGATAAAAAGGGGAAGGCAGGTGCAGTCCAAAAACTTGTCGAGATCAGAGGGCCTAGAGGTTCATCCATGACCTGAAGATACTCCCCCATCTTAAATTGCCTCTAAGAAATATTTTAAATTAAGAAAACATATCACAAAGAAAGGGAAAGATTCGAGTTAGGTGCTCTCAATCACAAAAAGTTACAATAACAATAATTGGCTCTAATAAATCAGTCTCACTGAGTAAACAACAAACAAAATACCATGTGACCTTTGGACTATACCCCTGCCGCAAGCGTTTCGTCGAAGACCCTCTCGTGTTCGCTTCTCTCTAGCATGTACTTTGGCAGGGACATCCGCAGAGCCCGATCGAACACCGGTTTGGTCTCCTCTGTAAACATGCCGTCATCGGGCCCCTGCCCCAAGCCCTGGGGCCCCTCTGGATCGTCATCTCCCTCGTCGTCCACTTCCTGGAGGTCTTCCTTGTCGTCTTCGCCGTCGTCGCCCTCCTCCGCAGGCTCCTCCTTGGCCTGCTCGGCCGCGCGCTGCTGTCTCGACTTGGCGCCGCTCTTTGTGGAGGTGGTGCTGGGGGTGGGGGTGGGGGCAGACTTGGGGGCGGCGTTGGAGGCGGCCGCGCGTTGCGTGGGGGCAGCGGACGCAGCGCGCCCCGGGGCCGCAGTCGTGCTGGCGGTCAGGGCAGCTGACTTGCCCTTCGGCGCAGGTGGTGGGCCGGGTGCCTTGAAGGCTGACGACTGGTGGTAGGCGAGGTGCCTCTGCTTGGGCTCGGACGCGGCAACGAACATGCACTCCTCATGCTGCATGCCCTTCTTGTCCACGCACTGGTAGCACGTCATCTTGTCCTTCTCCACCTTGGTGCAGTCTGACCGGTCCTTCTGCTGGAACTCCCCCAGCATCCTCTCCAGGTCCTTCTTGGGCACGACGCCCACACCCTGCAGCCCCTTGCCGGGCGGCCCCAAGCTCTCGGGCGGCCCGAGCCACAGGTCCTCGGAGGCGCCTGTCCCCGGCCCCGAGCCCGACAAGCCGGATGTGGTCTCGGCCGTGAAGGGGTCCCCGTCGTCCTCCAGACGCGACAGCAGGCTACTCACCTCCTCGCTGTCCTGTTCTTCGTCCGCCTTCTTCTTCTTCGCCTTCTTACTGTTCTTCTTATTCTTGCTCTTCTTTTTCTTGTCGTCCTTGCTTTTTTCCTGGCTCTTTTCCTTGGAGAGCTCGGGGAAGAGGAAGCTAAAGTAGTCTTCGTACTTCGGGCCCTGGAGCTGCTCCAGCGAGCTGTCTAGCTCTTTCTCGATCTGCTCGTGGTCCTTCTCGTGACTGTCCTTCAGCGCCTCTCCGAACGCGTCAATATTCCCTTCAGCGCCCGCGTCCTTCTGTTGCGCCGTCTCCTGCTGTTGCACATCCTGGGCGTCCTGCGACGTGTCCTGCGATGAGTCCTGCGACGTGTCCTGCGACGAGTCCTGCTGTTGCCGGCCTTCCTCGCGCCGCCGGCGCCGCCTGCTCTTGGGGCGCGGGTTGCCGTACGACGAGGACCGGCCGAACGAGTAGGACTGCGTCTCGGGCTCCGTGGCGTACTGGCACTGCTCGTAGTTGCCGCCCGTCTTGGGGTCCGCACACACCGTGCACACCGCGCCCTTCTTCACCACCTTCTTGCAGCGGCCGGCGCTGGCCGCCGCGCTCTGCCCGCCCTCGTCGTCGCCCTCGGCCTCGGTGGCCTGCTGCGCGTTGCCGTCATCCTCCTCCTCGAAGTGCTCCGGGCTGAACTTGTAGTCGTCGGCCTCGCGGTCCTCGCGGTCGTCGCCATCCGTGAAGGACTCGAAGAAGGCGTCGTCGGGCTCCTCGCGGGTGCGGCGCACGTAGGGCGACCTGCTGCCGAGGCCGCCGTCGGCCGCCCCCAGCGAGAGCGCCGCCCCCGCGCCCGCGCCCGGCTTGCCGTGGCTAGCGGCGGCGCGGTGCGCGGCCTTGACGGCGGCGTGCACGGCGGCGTGGCTGGCGGCCTTGGAGGAATGCGCGGCCTGCGTGGCCTGCGTGCGCAGCGGGTCGACCGGGGAGGGCACGAAGCCGCCCTGGAGGTTGAACCTGGCGGGCCCCGAGGAGCCCGACGAGAGCCCGCCCAGCTTGCTGCTGCCCGCGCCGCGCGCGTCTTGGAACGGGCGGCTGTCGTAGGCCTCGGCGCTGGCCGTGCTGGTGGAGCCGGAGCCGGAGCCTCGCGAGGGCTCGCGGACGTCCCCACGCTCGTCCTCGTCGAAGCCAAACTCGTCGTCCTGCTCGAGCGCGTCGTGGTCCTGGACGCCGCCGGCAGCGCGCAGCTGCTCGGGCTGCGTGTGGTAGTAGGAGGAGTAGGACGGGTACCTCGAGTTGCCGGCCTGCTTCAGCGGCTGCGTCCTGGTGTGCGCTGCCCCCGCCGAGAAACCGGGTGACCGGTCGTCATCGTCCGCCTCGTCTTTGTCCTCGGCGTCCTCGTCGTGGAGGTCGGCGGCCTTGTCGCCGCCACCCTCGGGGAAGTCGAAGTGGAAGAAGTCCTCGTCGGCACCGTCACGCGTCCTACCGGAGGCGCCGGCGGGGCCGCCGCCCACGCCACGCTTGGCCTTGGCGAGCTCGCTGAAGTCGTCCTGCTCGTCCGAGGACGCCGCCGCCACCGCGCCGAAGGAGCCGAAGGGCAGTCGTGAACCGGACTGGGCGCTGGCGCTGCGGAGGAGAGAGAGAGAGAGAGGCCACAGCCAGGAGGG